TGGGAAAGAAGGAGAAGACGATGAGAAAAAGAGAGCAGAGAAAGTGTGGACTGCTGGAAGAACTGTGGTGAACTGGTGAAAGAAAAGTGAAATGGCGTGCTCAAAGATGACCCTGCACATTTAGAGGATGTTTGGCTCAACCTGCTGCTGTGAAGCAGGATTCTCTACCATGAACAGAATCAACAATAAATCTGGATCCAGGCTCAAAATGAGCTCCTTGATATGTGCTTGAGAATGGCTTAGTCTCCATTTAAACCCAGGTTTAAAGCCTTGCAGGGCAGCCTAAAGCCCACTGCCAACATTAAGACAGAAAAAAGAAAGAAAAAGTCAGTTCAGGTGTTTGATAAAATATGGGAATCAGGAAATTATCTATATACCAAACTGAACAAATTTTGTTCTCTACTTCAAAAATAATTTAGGTTTTAAAATGGAAAAATTTTGTACTTTTTTCTCTATATTTTTTTCTTTAAAGATTCAATGTATAACATGGATTCATAAAAACCTTATTTTATTTCAGTGTTAAATTCTGTTTAAAGTAACAGCAGAGTGCAAAATACGGGGGGGTCCGGGGGGGCTCGACCCCTCCGATTAATCCATGAGACCCCCTGAAAGCCTCAAAAGCAAAATTTAAAGGGGGTCTTAAATTCTGTCAAAAAAATTAAAAATAAAATATTTTTTTGTCACTAACAGTAACTAAAATGTTTTTAAGCTCAACATGTCCAGTATTAAAATTCAACCTTTATTCACAAATATGTTCTGTTTTTTGCCAAGTGGAGCCAGTCAATCTTTTCGCATATGCGAATTAGCCATGTACTTTTCCGCAGTTAATAACACTGACAACGCGGAACAGATTGCGTGAAGACAGCAGGTCACTCCTGTTTGTGGACCTCAATGGACCTCCTCTGGACAAATTCGACCCAGTTCCATTCGTCAGAAACTGGATTAAAGCAGGACATTGTGCGTGCATGAATTGAGAGACAGACAGACAGACAGAGACAGACAGTCTTTGTGCGTTTGTGTGTTTTCATAGACTGTCTGTTCAGGCTCTTGCCCGCTCCACTAGATTGATAGAAATTTTCATCCACTGGAAAAAATCTAAATCTAGATAAGTCAGTTTTTCTTAAAATAAGTGCATTTGTTCTTAAATTGAGGAGATTAAAGAGACCTTTTGCCAATGGAACAAGACAATTTAGATTTAAAATAAGAAAACACAATTGCATTGTCTTATTTCAAGTGCATATTATCTAATTATCTTATTCTAAGGGTAAAAATACTCACTCCATTGCTCAATAGTAGCGCGAGTATGCTCGCACAATATCTGGCGGGCCAATCAAATTGTCAGGGCGGGCTTTATACAATCATGGACAGATGATCAACAGTAACGTAATCAACCACGTGACCAAAGCGCGCATGGGTGACAACAACAATGGCTGCCGCTGGAGAGTTGAGGTGAGTAGATTCTGCTATTAGGTCTGTTCTAGAAGATATAGACAGCAAATTAATTTTAAAAGAGGAACAGAGAAACGCCATCAAGGCTCATCTTCTTATTCTAGGCGTGCAACTGCACGCTTTGATTTTTGTTGACAACAACTATGCCTGGCTTAACATACGTCACGCACTCCGTTGCTCTTATTGGTTGTAGGTCTATCCAATTAAGTGCAGAGGCATTTTTTTCCCTGGTTTGTTCGAAACACGCCCCATAATCACAGCTCTATGGAGCAGCATCAGACTCATATTCTGACTAGAATTGAGTAGGACTATGTCAGGCTAGGAGGTTTGAGACCATCCTGATCTCGCGAGCTTTCAAGGTTTCACTCGCTAATCAGTCTGGAGACTCTCCGTTAAAGAACATTTGGAGCCGTTCACCAAACGAACGTCCAATCAGCGTTGGCTTAGAGGCGGGTTGAGGTGTGACGCAACGAAAAGCGCGACAGTTCAGTCTAAAGAACATGGCGGCTTCAGCCGATGAAACTAGCGTTAGCGTGGCTATCGAGCAAGTTTTATCGGAGTATTTCTTCACTGAAAGAAGAGCAAAGCACTGCTCTGGAGGCTTTTCTCAGAGGAAAAGATGTTTTTGCTCTTCTCCCGACTTGTTTCGGCAAGAGTAGCCTGGCTTGTGGTTGTGTTTTCGTCGTCGCTCTGTTAGTACGTCATATGCTTCGTTGATCTCATTGGTTTATTTGGCCCGTCTATCACCAACATAGGCCAATCAGCTAACCAGTATTTTTCGCCCCTTCGCAAAATTACTTCTACGGAAGGTTTCCAGATGGATATGCGGAGCAAATCCATCTGGTGGAGTCAGGTTAAGGAGGTTTGGGTTCTTGTTCCTTTTTAGCATCCATGACCAGAGCCCTGTCAGTTCATGACGCATCAGGGCAGAAAACATGGGTGTGTTTTTTTGGCCACTAGGTACACTTTTGCAGTGAGAATAGAAAAGGTTTCATAAGCAACTTCTTTGAGTCTGCTTCTGATTTCAGAATCACGTCCGTATTTGCATTTAGGGGCGAGAATATCCGGCTGTGTTTTGTGTTTATTCAGGCGTTTGGTGGTTGCTGGGATTGTAAAGAGGGAGAGAGACAAATAAAATAACTTCAGGGCTTCTGGATGCTGCGTGTGACACTGAAAGTCTTACCGCTGACTTTAACAGCATTTTAATTAGTAGCAAAGTGTTGGGCTAATAATGCTGCTCTAATCACACTTGAGTAGATTTCCTCCCTGGAGTCTGATCTGTAAGCACACAAAGCACAGCAGAGGGGTAGAAGGAGGGATCAGCTTAAAGCATCCACATGCTGCTAACTGATAGTAATGGTTTATGTTGGGCTTAACAAAGCTGCAAACAATCACATCAGAACATTTCACTCGTACTTATCAGAGAGTGATTAAGTGATTTAACTTCTATTTGTAATTTGACCCATGCATTATGATAATTCAAGAGTTTTTTTCCTCCCCGATGTGGTTCTAAAGTTTGTTAATGCACAACACTTTTCAGAAACAAAAGAATCTGTCATGATTTATTTAAGGATCTGACCCAAAATGCAGTAAACCACTCAGAGAGCAAGACAAAGATTTGAACAGGTTTATTGATAAAACCAGCGGGGGGAAACTCAGTGTACTCAGAGGGCTGCTGAACCGGAACTGGACGGGAGGACGGAAGTTCACAGAGGTGAGTTCAGGATCCGTGGGAACTTTGAACGATGACTTGGAGAGACAGAGAAAAACGGGACTCACGTTAGTGGAGAAAACCTTCTTCCCAGAATCCAGTCTGTTTGGGTTGATCCAGAGGTAGTGACTCATTGGAGAGTGGACAGGTAGACATTTGTTGAACCCGGAGGAACTATAGAGCTGACTGTCACTCGGAAATCCAGGAGAACTTGAATGGAACTTGTGGAGGTTAATCCCCTGCTCAGTGTGAGACTCAAACAATCCTTCCAGAGGAAGAAGGCCAAAAACATCCAGCTTGCTGGATGGCTTCCTGCCGAAAGGCAAAGACAAAATCACAAGGTTAGGCTCAGCGAAAAACAAAGACTCAGTTAGACTCAGCAAAACTCAGCTTGGCTAGAGTACCCAAAACTGGCAAACAGTCTGGCGCTGAGGTAGTGACAGTCCACTGCTTAAGTACTCCTCCCGATAATGATCCAACGAGACGCAGGTGTGCAGGGAGGACCAACGAGGACAGGGCGCCACCCGCTTAAGGAGAGAGAGACAAACACAAACAACAGACCACACAAACTGGATTCCTGACCAGGGGCGGATCTATAGGGGTGGCTACGGGAGCAATTGACTCCCCCGAAATCTGATTGGCTACCCCAACTGCCACCCCAGCTGATTGACGGCACCGCTAAAACAGTTGCACGTTTGAAGTCTTTGACTGCGATGTTCTTCCTGTACAGTAGATGGCGCAATGCAGCAAGCGCTATGCAGCCCCTTTCCAGTCGTGAATCTAGGGTGAAAGAAGAAGAACTAAAGCGGCTGTGGAGCCACCTAGTGCAACAAGCATAACATTAGTTAACAAACAACATTCTTTGGGAAAAGGCTGCGCGCTCTCGAGATGGATTTTATTCTCATTTGGACCGACTGACGCATATCGGTGAGTAGGCTGCACGACCACAGATTATATTCATAAAAGAAGCTCAATTTGATAAGTTCAGTCAATGAGGATCATCCTCTGTTCAATTGATGTCCGTTTCATAAATCAGAATGATAAGGAGAAGCCCTTGCTTTTCACGAAGGGTGGCTAGAAGCTAGCCTGGCTGTAAACAGACAGGTGCAGGTGGGTGATATTGATGCGTTTCAGTGTCAATTTCTGTGATTTCATGCCCACGTCTGCTGAAAATACTGCTGACGAGAACGGAAACTATTTCATTTTTTTAATGTCCGTGTCTAGAACCTTCTGAATTATGAAACCAGCAATATCTTTGATCAGAACCGTTTGCCCATGTCATGAAAGGCATTATTAGTCGTAGATAATTCACGACCGATGTAGTTAGCCAGTAAAGTTATGGCAGGCTGAAACCTTAATTGAATGGATAGATTGCAGTCACTACACATGTCTTATTGTTGTGTTCTGATATTTCTAGGCTGTAAAAATGTAGTCTGTATTCATTAATTTCCTTGTGCATCATTTTGGACACGAAATGTTGCATTTTGCTTTGATAAGTAATAAAACGTTTTTTTTTTTCGGTTGAGAATGAAAAGACAGGGAGGCACGATTTATAACTACTTTAAGAGAAACAGATCAGGCTTAGAACAGATCAGCAGCCCCGACAGCCCTCATCCTGGGACTAGTCAGGAAAGTCCGGCAGAATCCAGCCTGTCATCATCGCCAGGGTTGAACATACAGAAGCAGTCACATGTTCAGTTATTTTAAATTATATTTAACATTATTTCAGATGTTCAGTTCAGTCATTTTAAGTTATGTTAAACATTATTATGAATGTTGGTTATTGTTGTATGTTCAGTTTTAGACAATGGTTGTTTATTTTGATCATACTATTAAATAAATATTTTTCTACTATGTAGGTGTGAGAGTGGACCGAGACGATGACAGGTCCCAAGCTGGAACCATTACCGAGGAGTGTCAGGCACAACACAGCCCACCATCATCAGGTCAGAGCAAGTCAGACATGCCAAGTTCAGTCAGTACATTAACATTATTTATTTATATTATTTTCATTGTTAATATTGTTTCACAATATAGTTCCTTCTGAGGAAGGCTCTGAGGCTTCTGAGCAGGACGACGACCCAGACCCAGAGCAACCAGAGCCTGAAGATGTGCTTCCCTGATTGTAGTAGGGAAAACAGTTTGTATGCTGGGTGAGTGGGATCTTTGATCTGTGTTTCTGTTATCAGAGAGTTGAAGAATGCACCATATTCATTTTGTGCATAAATAAACTACAAATTGTACTCAAAATTGCACCTTTTGTCTGCTTAGTATGTGGCTACTTAAATATGATTGCAAATTACTGCTTACAAGGTTTATATAAGAGAGGTCAATAAGCCTTAATTAACTTGTAAATTATGCACCAAAGATAACCACAGACTAGTTGGCTTTCATCTGTAGCCCCTGGAAGTTTGATGTTGAAAGAAGCGTGTGTGTGTGTGTGTGTGTACATATAGAGTATAACACAAGAATGATAAGTCATTACTCATGACATGTCAAAGAAGAACATAAGACAGGACCAACATCTGTAAGTCCATGTAGAAATAAATGATAGTGAATAATAATTTAAACTTGACATGAACAGGTATACAGCACTCGATTGCTTACAGACGGTTGGTGTTTTCTGCTGCGACATTAACGCTAGTGCATAAACTTTGTTATTTTTAAGTATAAACCATTGCCCCCCTAAAATACACTCGGCCACCCCCTTGCTACCCCAAGGATAAAAGTCTAGATCCGCCACTGTTCCTGACAGAATCCAAGGACTGTTTTTTAAACTTTTTCAACATCTCTAAATTATATAAGGATTTTTTTAGCTCATATTTTGAAGTAGAAGGAAGATTAAACATAGATATCATATTTATTAACAGATAATGTTATGATTCTGCACTTTTTGGTACTGTTTAAGTTTCCTTTTTTTTTTTTTCAGTTATATTTTTATTTATGTCTTTCTGTGTTTTGTAGTTTATTGGTTTTATTTCCATTTTCTGTCATTTTAGTTATTTTTGATTGTATTTGAGTTTTTAGGGATTGTTTGCCCTCTGCAGCTCTCTTGTGTCAGTCTCTTTTTCCCTAGCTCCCTTCTAGTTTCCTCTGTCCACACCTGCTCCCAATCTGCTGATTAGCCTGGTCTTTGTTCAGTCTCCCATTTATACGCCTCATGTTCAGTCACTGTTTGCTGGTTCCTTGTTGTTAGTTGCTTCCTCGTCTCTGGCTCCCCACGTGAGTTTTCCCTGAAGCTTTTTGTTTTTTTTTGGTTCTTTGTTTTTTGGATGTCTGCCTCAATTTTTTTCATTAAACCAACGAGAACTCATCTCTGCATTTGGGTCCTCACAACCTCACCCACCTAGCCTGGATGCCATTCCGAACTTAGTCCCGCCCACAAAGTTTGAGGTCGGGAAGTTCGGTCTGGCATTGCTCAACAGTAGCGCGAGTATGCTAGCACAAAATCTGGCGGGCCAATCAAATTGTCAGGGCGGGCTTTATACGATGATGGACAGTTGATCAACAGTAACTTAATCAACCACCAAAGCGCGCTTGGGTGACAACAACAATGGCTGCCGCCGGAGAGTTGAGGTGAGTAGATTCTGCTATTAGGTCTGTTCTAGAAGATATAGACAGCAAATTAATTTTAAAAGAGGAACAGAGAAACGCGATCAAGGCTCATCTTCTTATTCTAGGCGTGAAACTGTACGCTTTGATTTTTGTTGACAACAACTATGCATGGCTTAACATACACTCCGTTGCTCTTATTGGTTGTAGGTCTATCCAATTGAGTGCAGAGGCATTTTTTTTCCTGGTTCGTTCGAAACACGCCCCATAATCACAGCTCTATGGAGCAGCATCAGACTCATATTCTGACTAGAATTGAGTAGGACTACGTCAGGCTATCACCCACCTAGTTGTCAGGTAAAAATCCAGGGCTTTTAACTGTTTATCTAAGCTCAGAGTGCCATTTTGAGCAATAACAGCAATTCGGTAATTTAAATCATAAACAGACTAATTTGATGCATTTTGTAATTTCTATAACAAAATTGTTTAAATAAAAATGAACAGATTCTATCCCATTAATCCTTTTAACCATTTAATTTCATTTAATCTTTAATGGCGAGTAACGCTGTTCCGTCCATCATCGGATTGGTGATGTATTTCCACCCTGTGGCGCAAAATTCTTTGCCCACAGACGAACTTTTAACTCTCGTTAAATGTTGTCCAATCCTGATCTCGCGAGCTTTCAAGGTTTCACTCGCAGATCAGTCTAGAGACTCTCCGTTAAAGAAATTTTTGAGCCGTTCACCAAACGAACGTCCAATCAGCGTTGGCTTCAGTGGCGGATCTAGACTTTTATCCTTGGGGTAGCAAGGGGGTGGCCGAGTGTATTTTAGGGGGGCAATGGTTTATACTTAAAAATAACAAAGTTTATGCACTAGCGTTAATGTCGCAGCAGAAAACACCAACCGTCTGTAAGCAATCGAGTGCTGTATACCTGTTCATGTCAAGTTTAAATTATTATTCACTATCATTTATTTCTACATGGACTTACAGATGTTGGTCCTGTCTTATGTTCTTCTTTGACATGTCATGAGTAATGACTTATCATTCTTGTGTTATACTCTATATGTACACACACACACACACACACACACACACACTTCTTTCAACATCAAACTTCCAGGGGCTACAGATGAAAGCCAACTAGTCTGTGGTTATCTTTGGTGCATAATTTACAAGTTAATTAAGGCTTATTGACCTCTCTTATATAAACCTTGTAAGCAGTAATTTGCAATCATATTTAAGTAGCCACATACTAAGCAGACAAAAGGTGCAATTTTGAGTACAATTTGTAGTTTATTTATGCACAAAATGAATATGGTGCATTCTTCAACTCTCTGATAACAGAAACACAGATCAAAGATCCCACTCACCCAGCATACAAACTGTTTTCCCTACTACAATCAGGGAAGCACATCTTCAGGCTCTGGTTGCTCTGGGTCTGGGTCGTCGTCCTGCTCAGAAGCCTCAGAGCCTTCCTCAGAAGGAACTATATTGTGAAACAATATTAACAATGAAAATAATATAAATAAATAATGTTAATGTACTGACTGAACTTGGCATGTCTGACTTGCTCTGACCTGATGATGGTGGGCTGTGTTGTGCCTGACACTCCTCGGTAATGGTTCCAGCTTGGGACCTGTCATCATCTCGGTCCACTCTCACACCTACATAGTAGAAAAATATTTATTTAATAGTATGATCAAAATAAACAACCATTGTCTAAAACTAAACATACAACAATAACCAACATTCATAATACTGTTTAACATAACTTAAAATGACTGAACTGAACATCTGAAATAATGTTAAATATAATTTAAAATAACTGAACATGTGACTGCTTCTGTATGTTCAACCCTGGCGATGATGACAGGCTGGATTCTGCCGGACTTTCCTGACTAGTCCCAGGATGAGGGCTGTCGGGGCTGCTGATCTGTTCTAAGCCTGATCTGTTTCTCTTAAAGTAGTTATAAATCGTGCCTCCCTGTCTTTTCATTCTCAACCGGAAAAAAAAAAACGTTTTATTACTTATCAAAGCAAAATGCAACATTTCGTGTCCAAAATGATGCACAAGGAAATTAATGAATACAGACTACATTTTTACAGCCTAGAAATATCAGAACACAACAATAAGACATGTGTAGTGACTGCAATCTATCCATTCAATTAAGGTTTCAGCCTGCCATAACTTTACTGGCTAACTACATCGGTCGTGAATTATCTACGACTAGTAATGCCTTTCATGACATGGGCAAACGGTTCTGATCAAAGATATTGCTGGTTTCATAATTCAGAAGGTTCTAGACACGGACATTAAAAAAATGAAATAGTTTCCGTTCTCGTCAGCAGTATTTTCAGCAGACGTGGGCATGAAATCACAGAAATTGACACTGAAACGCATCAATATCACCCACCTGCACCTGTCTGTTTACAGCCAGGCTAGCTTCTAGCCACCCTTCGTGAAAAGCAAGGGCTTCTCCTTATCATTCTGATTTATGAAACGGACATCAATTGAACAGAGGATGATCCTCATTGACTGAACTTATCAAATTGAGCTTCTTTTATGAATATAATCTGTGGTCGTGCAGCCTACTCACCGATATGCGTCAGTCGGTCCAAATGAGAATAAAATCCATCTCGAGAGCGCGCAGCCTTTTCCCAAAGAATGTTGTTTGTTAACTAATGTTATGCTTGTTGCACTAGGTGGCTCCACAGCCGCTTTAGTTCTTCTTCTTTCACCCTAGATTCACGACTGGAAAGGGGCTGCATAGCGCTTGCTGCATTGCGCCATCTACTGTACAGGAAGAACATCGCAGTCAAAGACTTCAAACGTGCAACTGTTTTAGCGGTGCCGTCAATCAGCTGGGGTGGCAGTTGGGGTAGCCAATCAGATTTCGGGGGAGTCAATTGCTCCCGTAGCCACCCCTATAGATCCGCCCCTGGTTGGCTTTGAGGCGGGTTGAGGTGTGACGCAACGAGAAGCGCGACAGTTCAGTCTAAAGAACATGGTGGCTTCAGCCGATGAAACTAGCGTTAGCGTGGCTATCGAGCAAGTTTTATCGGAATTACAGAGTATTTCTTCACTGAAAGAAGAGCAAAACACTGCAGAGTAGCCTGGCTTGTGGTTGTGTTTTCGTCGTCGCTCTGTTAGTACGTCATATGCTTCGTTGATCTGATTGGTTTATTTGGCCTGTCTATCACCAACATAGGCCAATCAGCTAACCAGTATTTTCGCCCCTTCCCAAAATTACTTGAACGGAAGGTTTCCAGATGGATATGCGGAGTCAGGTTAAACTAAGGCGGCTCCAGCATCTGATCCGGATGCCTCCTGGTCGCCTCCCGCAGGAGGTGTACCAGGCATGTCCCATTGGGAGGAGGCCTGGTGGAAGGCCCAGAACACGCTGGAGGTACTATGTCTCTGAGCTGCCTGGTGTCGCCTTGGGGGAGCAGCTGGGGGAGGTGTGAGTGAATCGGAAAGTCTGGGTATCTCTGCGTAGACTGCTGCCTCCACGACCTGGATCTGGATAATGGATGGATGGATGGATGGATGGGCCAACATTTTCAACTAGTCATGTATCCCTTTAAGTGTTAAAATATTTTTGCAAGTCACTGTTTTACTTAAGAATAACCTTAAACCTGCATAAAATATTACATTTCTAAGCCTTGCAGCGCCCTAGGCAGTAATTACAGCCCCTCTCAGACAAACAAAAGCTTTAATCTGTTGTTTGGTTTTCTGCTTGAGGGAGTTTGTAAATACTACAAAATGTCAAAAGTCTCCAAAGTCTTAGGCTGCTCTAGTGCACCATTCAGCTTGTAGAGGCATCAGAAACCTGACAGGCCTGTCGTGTTTCATTACATCGGTTACGCTGTGATCTGAATATCAACATTTAGAGGTGAGGGCTGTGATCAGCTGAAAGAGAGCTCTTAGTTCCATATCATCCATCTGCAGTCTCTCCCTATTGCCTAAAAGATAGATTAGCATATATTTCAAATCATTTGATCAGATTTTGTAAGATAGTATTAGCTTTGCAGATCAATAAAAAAAAAAAAAAAATTGCTTGCAGCAGATATATATGGGGCGCCGTTTGTAAAAGTTAAAGTTAAGCAGTCAAACATACGGAGAAATATTTGTGGTTATTTAGCGTGTTTTAAGAGAAAAATAAGATTAATTTTTTCCATGTCATTTATTCTTTTATAAAAAATACTTTGTTACATATATATTTAGTTTGGTGCTAAATATTTATTTAACAAATTAAATATTTAGTTTGGAGCTAAATATATACATTTTTTAAACTAAATATCTAATTTACAAACTAAATATTTAGTTTTAAAATAAATATTTAGTTCGGAACGAAATATTCAGTTTGCAAATTAGATATTTAGTTTGTTTGACAAATATTTAGCTCCAAACTGCATGTTTAGTTTTAAAAAATATATATATATTTAGCTCCAAACTAAATATTATTTTTGTCTAATAAATATTTAGCTCCAAAATAATATTTATTTTGGAGCTAAATATTTATTAAAAAAGCCTAAATATTTAATTTTGACCTAAATATTTATTGAAAAAACTAAATATTTAATTTGCAAACTAAATATTTATTAAACAAAGTATTTTTAGACATGAATGAATAACAGAGTGAAAAAATGACTTGGAAATAACTGCCTTATTTTTCTCCATAAATATTTCTTTTAATTTTTGTCTGTTTAACTTAACAAACGGTGCCCCATAAATATAGCCGGAGCCAAAAGGTCACCAAAGATGGTGGAAGTGAAAACTGCTGAAATAATAAAAAAAAAAAAAAAAGATGACTGTTGTTGGATCAACTCCCTGAATGCAACGACGCTTCTTTTAAATCTGAGCTGCAGTGTTTTTCTGTCATTAGGGAGGAGCCATTAAATATTAACACCTGGGTTGACAGTGGAGTTCGATGCTCCATGACCTGTGATGAAGGAGTTGCACTTACTGTCTGGCCGGCACAAGCTTCAAAGTAACAACAAAGGGGCTTTCAGACTGGATCCGTCTCCAAGTGAGTTTTATAATGAGCAGAGAGAAGCAAGAACAGAAGAGCTGATGAAAGACGATCCTGAACGGACGGAAAAGCTCAATGATTTGAGAGAAAATGTTTTGAAATTTCTCACTTTTAAGGCTGAAAACAAAATTAATGAGGCAAGAGTTTGGGAATTTGTCTAATAATAGTGAACATTACAGACGTTCTGGTTTGGCTGCCTTAGAGCTTAACGTTCCTGTGATAAAAAAGTAGTGGCTCCCTTCCAGGGTTGGATCTACGTGGGGGGCAAGGGGGGGCCTATGCCTCCCTGCTTCTTTTCTACTTTTATGTCTTTAAAATACTTATGGTTACTGTTCTCAAAATTTGCTCAGATACCTCTTACAGCCTGCAAATTGAAAAAAAAATATTTACAAAAAATATATAATTGCTTGTGAAAATATAACCTGCGCTCAAATAAACGCACCCGTTTGAAAGTAACAGATGCTGCAACAAAATATGTATAAAAAAATCATAATGAAGAAATGAATAAATCAACTTTTATTTAAAAATCCTTTATTTTATCAATGTTTAATTGGTTTCATGTTTTTTTCAGATATGTAGTATACAGGGTTCGTACAGGTGCTGGAAATCCTTGAAAATGCTTGAATTTTGACGTTGTGTTTTCAAGGTTTGAAAAGTGCTTATATTTTGGATGAAATTCTTGAAAATGCTTGAAATTGTAACTATTTCTTTCGCAACAAATACCTATCTAACTGAATTGTGTGTTTATTAAATGGAGAAATAAAATGTTGGAGAGCCTGAAAATGAAACCTGCTTGCTTATGTGTGACTGCGATCTGCCAGTCTATTTCCATGTGTGACTCCGCCCCCTTGAAACCACTACTGCACCATGCTGGGAGGTTGTCGTTTCAATGAACGTTGGCTGGAAGATGAAAAATACAAATTATGGATTAAACGGGGACAAACCCCACGAGTCGCCTCCTGTAAAGTCTGCAAAAAAGATGTGCAGCTTTTCACAATGGGTGAGTCTGTGCTGTCGAGTCACATGAAGAGTAAGTAATAGACTTTTTAAGTAAGCCAACTGAAGTAGCCTAGTACACGTTAATGTTAGCTCCTATTTGTGTACGCTAGTAACTGCTAGCTAGGAATTCACAGGCTAAGTTACTGAGTGACTGAGAGTACGGTGCGATAATGTAATGTTAGTATTGCAATGTTTCCCGCGGCACTATCTTGGCAAACTCGCGCTACCGCCTCGCCAACGTTCCAAAAAAAAAAAAAAAAAAAACTAAGTTTTAATTAATTGCCATGCCCAGACCTTAAAACAGCATTGATAACTCTACGGCTGATAATACCGAAATGCGACACCCTCTGGTTGGTTATATTACTATGCCATGGCAGAGGAGTAATGTTCTTTGATCATCCGAGGAGACGTGTGGGGGGGGGGGGGGGGGGGGGGGGGGGGGGAATGTCTTCATCATCGGTGAACTATATGTGGAAAGGTAAGTTAATTAAAACTGATAATAGAAAATTTATATCTGCCTCGTGGGCTCTGACAGATTAAGATAGGAGTTATTTTTATGTATTCATTTCGAACACCCCCCCCCCCCACCCTCCGGCAGTCATCCGCTCAAAACTGGTTCCGGCCGACAGCACTAAACAATAATTTTGACTATGTATTGGTATGTAATTTACGGTGGTGTAAGGTGCTGGAAAAAGTTTTAAAATGGATCTTGAAAGTGCTTGAAAAGTGCTTGATTTTGACTTTGGAAAAGGTGTACGAACCCTGGGTATATTACCACTGCATTTTATTAACAAATTATTCAACAAACTGCTGATGATAAGAACAAAAGTTATCAAACCTCTCAATTATTGGGACGATGATGCTTGATGTCCACCATTACCAGGGGAATGTCATTGTTCACTTTTAGAGGTGCTCTATGTTTTTGGTATTTTTAAAAGTAAAAAAGCCAGACTCAGACAGGTATGCTATTATAAAAGGGAAAAGACATTTCAGAAACCTGTCAGCCATGCTCCTTTCCCGCCTTTTGGCACCTTCTTTTGGACTACTGAGCCGATGTAACAAGTGAATATTTCCACTGTGAAATCAATAAAGTCTATCAATCAATCAAGGCAAAGCAGTCCTTTCTTACCGTCAGCCAGTGGCTGTTCTAGACCAAATGTTCCAGGGGGCCAGGAGGGGGCCAGCATGTTTTCATGGGGACACAGAAAAGCATGAAATAAAAAACGGGGCAAGGTATTCAAATATAGATAGCTGCATGAAGTGAAATGTCTATTTAATTACATTTAATAAAAATTCTATGTCTTATTAGGTCAATATACGTTCATAATTTAGGAATTTAACATATCTTTGATGTTTTGATGTTTCTATTGATAAATTCAGCTGTAAAAATTACAGATTTCTTTTTTTTATTTACATTTACATTTAGTGGATGAAAACTGGGATTCCTATCTCAATATTACTGAAGGTATTACCTTGTTGTTTTTAAATAATTAGTAAAGCAGAGGAGCCAAAATAGATGACGTCTGAAGGGGTCATCTAGAAGAGTGGAACGCTATCTGACGGATTCATAGGCCCGTCAGATAGTGTTCCCCCCATGTTAAGAAGAGGGGAACGGGGTTCAAGGAGACAGAAGCAGAGATACAGAAAGCAGCTGTAAAAGGCGGCCCTGTCCAGGAAACACACAGCCAGGCAGACGAGCTCCGAGCCAGC